GATCCGAGTGCGCGCGCGATCTTTGGGTCGGAGGAAGGGGCCGGTGTGGGAACGCCAACCCCCCGGCTACGCCTCCGTCTGAGCCTCCGGGCGGGATCTTCGGGTGCGCTCCCCCTTCAATAACTAGGTCAACGTCGCAGAACGTTTGGCCCCGGTGCAGCCGGCGGCGAGAGGATGACGCTATGAGCAAAGCTGCCATCCTCCTGGCGTGCCTCGCGCGCGCCGCCGGCGACGCGCCGGCGCTCCTCGGCCGTCCCGCGGACACGTCGCTGAAGAGCGTGCCGCGCTTCCCCGGGCCAGCGGCGACGGAGTGCTTCGCCGGCGAGGTCGCCGGCCGCGCCTACGCCGAGGGCAGCGGCCACGCGCTCGTCAACTTCAGCGCCTTCGTGACCTTCCGCGCCGAGGGCTGCAAGGTCAATCACCTCACGGCCTACAACGGCAGCGCAACCGCGCCCTGGTACAGCGGGGGCTGCAGCCTCTTCAACGGCGTCGTCGCGGCGCGGCCCGCGGCCGCGTGGCCGCTGCCCCAGGTGCGCCAGCGCAGCGACAGCTTTTTGTCGAGCGGCGCCTACGACGAGCTCGAGCGCCTCGCGGCGCAGCGGCCCGTGAGCCCGGAGATGCGCGAGGCCGAGCGCCGGCTCCACGCGGCGCGGCGATCCGGGAGCCGCGCGGACTGGGGCCTCTCCGTGACGCCGGACGGCAAGGCGCTCCTCTTCGGCGTCGGCCGCCGCGACTTCCGCCACTCGACGTCGCCGGGGACGCCCCTCGGCGCCGCGCGGGGCCGCGTCGACGGCACGCTCCGCGCGCCGAAGTCGCGCGGCACGTTCTTCGACGGCCACTGGCACGACGTCCTCGTCGCGCGCGTCGTCGCCGGCGCGGCGAGCACGTTGTACGTCTACGTCGACGGCGAGCTCGCCGCGTCGGGGCCCGGGGGCCGCGCGGTGGCCTTCGAACCGTCCGCCGCGGACCGCCGGAACTTCGACTTCGACGGCGGGAGCGGCGTGGCGGCGCTCTACGACGCGCCGGCGCGCGTGCCCGTGGGCCAGCTGCTCGTCGGCTGCCTCCGGGGCGCGTCCATCGTGCCCCTGGCCTACGGCGCGGCGAAGGTCGCCGAGGCCCACGGGTCGGGCTTCTTCGCGGACGTGCTTCGGAGGGCCGCGCCGGACAAGCGGGTCCAGGCCGAGTACCCGGTCTACTACAGCGCGCACACGGACCCGGGGTCGCGCCACATGGCCGACCTGTTCCTGGCGTCCCTGGAGCGCAACGGCAACGGGGCCCGCGTCGTACCCCGCGAGGCGACGGTGACGACGGCGCAGCGGACCATGGCCGAGCGCTTCGGGACGAAAACGACCCTCGTCGCGACGGCCCTCGGCGCCCAGCCCGAGGGCACCTACGCGGCCATCACGGAGCTCGACGTGCGCTTCTTCGCGGGCGCGCCGATCGCGGACCTCGTCGACGACGCGCTCGAGCGGTGCGGCGACGGCTGCGACGGCGTCTTCCAGCGCGAGGACGACACGTCGCTCCACCGCAATTTGGGGTTCATGGTCATCAAGGTCGACCGGCGCGTGAAGAAGCTCTTCGAGCACGTGGGGCTCGCCGCGGCGACGTCCGGGCGCGTCCGCGGCGGCGTGCACCGGGGCCCGAACTTCCCCGCGGTCAAGGCCATCAAGGCGCCGACGGACCAGATGGTGCTCAACGTCGCCCTCTGGGAGCCCGAGAAGCTCTTCACGCTGGACGACGCCTTCGTCGCGGGCGCGGCGCGGCCGATCCTGAGGACGACGGTCTTCCCGGCCGCCGAGGTCGCGACGCGCGCGTTCCTCCTGCAGCTCGCGCTCCGCTACAAGCACAAGGGGGCCTTCGCGCTCTACCACGTCAACGACTTCGGCGGCATCTCGTCGCCGGACAAGGCGCGCGACGCGAAGATGGCCGAGCTCGACGTCATCGAGCGCGCCGTCTACAACGCGCGCCGCGCGGGCGAGGAGGAGTGCAACGCGACGGCCGCCGAGCGCGCGGGCATCGTCGCGTCCTACCTCGTCGGCCCGCGGCCGAAGAAGCGCAAGCTGCCCAAGAAGAAGCACGTCACGCTCGACCTGAAACGCGTCCGGCACTCGGGCAGGGTGAACTCGATCTAAGAGCGCGTGTTCGGAGGATAGAGGTATTCCCCGGCCGCGGCGGATCCCAGAGTTTCAAAGGAGGGGCTTTATTCCACGCGTCTTGTCGGCGGGCAAGCGCTCTACGCCTCCTCTTCCTCCTCGTCCTCATCGTCCTCCTCCTCGTCATCCTCGTCGTCCTCCTCGTCGTCGTCCTCGTCGTCGTCGGCCTCCGGGTTGTAGATGAAGGAGGACGCGCTGCCGCTCAGGACGGACCGGCCGAGCGTGAGCGCGCGCTCGCGCTGGAGGTCGGCCTTCGCAAACCAGTTGGCCTTGCGCTGCCGGGTCTTCATCTTCGATTGGCGCTTCTTCGGCACGGCCATCATGACGACCGCCGATCGGCTCTCCGCGGGCGCGAAGGGCGTGAGGGCCGAGGTGCCGGAAACCGAGAGGGCGTTGCCGACCGGCTGGAACGCCTGGACGGGCGCGAAGGCCGCAGCCACCAAAAGAATCGCTTTGAGCATCGTCGTAAACCTGCGGGGAGCGGAGCGGGTGAGCCGAGCTGATCGGCGCGTCGAGTCGGCGGGCGAACGTCTCGCGCGGCCTCCCCGGAGCAGGCCGTGAGGCCATCGCGGGCGCGCGACCGTCGCGGCGAGCAGAAGCGCGGCGCTGACAAAATGAGGCCGCGGCAACGCCAGGGGCGTGCCGAGACCGCATTTTTTTGCACGCGCAGTTCTGACATCGTCTCGCCGTCCAGTGCGACGCTTTACCAGGTCCAAACATCCCTCTCGGACCCCACACGAACGGAGTTGAATAGGACGCAGTCATCACGTCGCCGCAGACTTGGCTGCAAGTGCGAGCGTCGTCGGCCCGTCGCCGGGGGTCGGCCGGCCGACACGACGGAACGTCGATGCGACGCATTACACTGTGCATTACTCCCCCCCCTCCTCCTCACGCCCGCTCTTCGCCTCCCAGAGGCGCGCGTATTCCGCGCAGGACGCGAGGAGCGCGTCGTGCTTGCCCTCGGCGACGACGGTGCCGTCGCGGAAGACGGCGATGTTGTCCGCGCGCGGCGCGACGGCCGCGAGGCGGTGCGCGACGACGACGGCCGTGCGCCCGGAGCCGAGCAGGGCGTCGAGGACCCGCGCCTCGGAGACCGCGTCGAGGGCCGACGTCGGCTCGTCGGCGAGGAGCACGGGCGCGTCGCGGAGGAGCGCGCGCGCCGCGAGGACCCGCTGCTTCTCGCCGCCGCTGAGCTTCGCGCCGCGCTCGCCTATCAAGAGAACGGGTGTGTCCAGAGCAAAAAGCACGCCCCGGTCGTCGGACGCCGGCGCTCGCCGACGCGCTGCCGCGGGTCGAGGTGCGCGGCGCCCGCGGCGGCCAGCGCGGCGACGGCCGCGTCCAGCGGCGCGAGCACGTTGCCGTATTTCGCGTTGTAGAGCACCGTGTCGTCGAAGAGCGCCGTGTCCTGGGCGACGAGCGCCGTCGCGCGCCGCGCGTCCGCCGCGGACAGCGCGATGCCGCCGACGGTGACGGCGCCGGCCGTCGGCGCCGCGTCGAGGCCGTTGACGAGGCGCAGCGCCGTCGACTTGCCCGACCCCGACGCGCCCACGAGAGCGTGACGCCGCCGGCCGGGGCCGTGAACGTCGCGTTCTTCAGCGCCAGCGTGAAGCCGTCGCGCGACGCCGACACGCCCGAAAAGGCGATCTCCGGCGGCGACGGCACCGCGTGGGGCGGCGCGTCGTCCGCCGCCGCCGGCGCGTCGCGGAGCAACTTGACGACGGCGTCCGCGTCGACCAAGCCCTGCCGGATCTCCGACACCGTGTACCCCAAAAAGTTCATGGGCTGCGCGAGCTGCAGCAGGAGCGCGTTCACGGCGACGACGTCGCCGATGGAGAACGACGCCGCCGCGTCGAAGCGCCGCAGCGCGAGCCGGAGCGCGTAGTGCAGCCCGACGGCGAAGATGGCCGCCTGGCCGAGGTTCAACGCGCCGCCCAGCGCTTGGCTCGCGACGGCCTCGCGCTCCGACGCCGCGAGGACCTCGTCGAAGCGGTCCTGCTCCAGGGCCTCGTTGACGTTCGCCGCGACGCTCTCGTGGTTCGCGAGGCTGTCGACCAAGTACGCGCCCTTCTTGTTCTCCAGCGCCACGAGCGCGCGCCGCCGCCCGAGCCGGAGTTCGACGAGCGACGCCGTCCAGGCCGCGTAGGCCGCGAAGGTCGCGAGCGTCACGAGGCCGAAGCCGTGCGACCCGAAGCGCCGCCGGAGCACGCCGACGGAGAAGACGAGCTCGAGCACCGTCGGCACGACGGAAAAGACGCCGAGGAACAGCAAGCTCGCAACCCCCCGCGTCCCGCGCCCAAAGGCCACGGCGACCTCGCCCGTGGGGTGGTTCGCGTGCCAGCGCGCGTCCATGGCGTGGGCCTTGCCGAAGACGGCGGCGCCGAACGCCCGCTGGCACCGCTGCGACACGCGGGAAAAACACAAGCTCCGCAGCTCGCCCGCCGCGGACACGCCCAACCGTCCGAGACAGTAGCTCGCGACGGCCCGCGACGCCGCGGCGGAGCCGTCGCCGCCGTCGCCGAGCGCGTCGACCGCGCGCTGCAGCGCGAAGGGCACGCGGACGTTGAGCGCCTTTTGCGCGACGAGGAACGCGAACGTGAGCGCGAAGAGCAGCTGCTGCGACGGCGTCGCGGCGACGAAGCCGCGCGTGTGCGCGAAGACCTCGCCGAGCGTCGCGCGCGGCGCCGGCGGCGCGGCCGCGCGCGCGGGGCCGGCGGCGGCGCCGTCCGTCTCCGCGGCGGCGGCGTAGTCCGTCTCCGACTCGGTCGTCGCGCCGGGCACGTCGCGCGCGCCGCGGAGCTGCGCCGCGCCCGCGACGCTGCGCGGCGCCTCGATGGCATTGGCGACGGCGACGAGCGCGAGCAGCAAGCGTCGACGCCTCTCCATCGTCACTGCAGGCGCTGGCTCGATGCACCGACGATGCCGTCCGCCGGACAGCATCGGTCCCATCGCGTCCGGTCGACTTTACTACTGTAGTTCTATTTAGCAACGCCCTTAACATATCCAGGCGGTATCTGGGTTCATGCGACCGACAAAATAGAGGCTTGGCATGTCGACTGTGGCGCCATTGCCTGTGAACGGGCAGAGGACCAAGCGTGGTGCGCACAGTGCTCTTGAGAACAGCGTTGCGAGGCGGCGCGAGAGGAACAACGAAAATAGTTCATTCGCTTCGTCGTCCACCTCGACCGAACCATTACCACCTTGGTAGTAATTGACAATGCTATCCACGCCGCGCTCCATCTCGATGTTCCGAGGGCCCGCGAGCACGTCGGGCCGAGTCGAGACTCCGAGCGTGCGCCGCACGATTTCATCATAGCTTGCCGTCTGGTCGAGGTCCGCCGTCTGCAGGCTGATGGGATGCAGGCGACGCGGGCTCAGATCGAGAACTTTGATGATCGCCTGCAACGCATGGACGTACCGAATAGGCGCCGGAGCAACTTCCGTCGCATCGCGTGCGGCCTGCGCTAGCACCACAAGCTCCTCCATCCATGTCTTGTAGAGATCCAAATCGTCATCTTTTCCAACCACGCGGGACGTCGTTGAAGACGCGACACGGCGCACTCCTGCCTCGCGCGCCGCCGCTCGCATCCACGGCGCCAGCTTGTCCGTGCCGATTGTCGCGAACTCGTACGGACGAAATGGTCCCCCGTCATAGCCCAGCGACGCAAAGTCTAAATCCAGAGCTGGAGAATAGAAGTGAGGCAGCTTTTCAATCGTTTCGAGCTCTTCGAGGCTTGCAACGGGACGCTGCCGCACCACGACGCCATCCAAAGTGACGTCGATGCAAGTCACAAGACATGCACGTCCACAGTCTGGACATCTGCTATCAAAGACGTGGCAAAGCAAGCCCGATGCCCCGGTCGCAGGCAAATCGATGTCGACGTCGGACTCGACATTGCCATCGTCCTCCGACTCGTCGCCAGACTCGACGTCGTCGGCGTAGCAGACGGTCACCCGAAGATACGAGAGGGCGTCTAAGACGGCCACGCCCGTAAGACCGTCGTAGAGGTCGGCGCGCTCCGACGCTTCGTCCTCCGACGCCTCGTTCTCCGAGAAGTCGTCCGACGCGTCCGAATCCGAGTCCACAGGGCCCTCGCCGCTCCATATGGATGCGTGTACGTACTGGCCAAAGCCATGCTGATTTTTGACCCTGAACGTGCGATCAGAGGCCGCCGGAAGCTCTCCTGCATCGCGTAGCGCGTCGTAGCGGGCCTGGCAGACGTTGCGGAGGCAGTCGACGCGCCGGTCCACGGCAGCGATGTCGCGGAGGAGCTGAGAATCACCGCCGCGCGCGCGGGTGAGCACGGTATCGCAGAATCCGATGACCGCCGACGCGGCCGCGTCGAGCGCACCGGGTGCGAGGATCGCTGAGCTCCCTTGGAGCGCGAGGATCTGCAGCGCCCGGTGAATCGCGGACTGCGGCGTCGGCCCGTCGACCGGCGCCGCCTCGCACCACGCGAGCGACGGGCGGCTCATTGGCGCCAGCGCAGCGTGGAGGGGCTCGCGCGTGCGAGCCCAGCGATCTGGTGCCAGCGCGGGCTCATCCATCCAAGGGCTTGCGACGCATCCAGCGCACGAGCAGCCTTTCGGTCGGCGGCGCCGGCCTGCGAGTCGATCCGCGCCAGATAGAGCGATGACGGCGTCGACATCGCCCGCGTGCACGCAAAATGATCCGCGATGGATGGCGTGGATGGACGCGTCCGCGAATATCCGACGAGCGAAATCGCCCGCGGCCGCGTTCAACGCGGCCGACGCCCGCGGCGCGATCCGCGGCGGCAGAAACTCTGCAATTATATTGACGACGTCCGGGGCAAGCCGCCGCGCCAGGGGATGCGAGCCTCGCCGCACACCGCAACAACCGACGAGCATGGCATTAAACGCGCGCGGAGGAAAGGCAGGGCCGTCACGAGCCTGCGCATCGCGCATGAGCACTTCCCCGTGCGCTAGCAGCGCTTTTTCCGCTGCGTCCCATCGTTTCACGTCCAGGCTACTCAAGCTCTCGGCGTCGGAGTCGGCCATACCAGCTCGAGTCTTTTTGGATGCCGACTTCAAGCAAACTCAGGTCGTCCTTGCCCTCGGTTGGTTTTGGCCGACGATGGTGTCGCCCCGACCGCCCGGGCAGCCTCCGCGGCGGCGGCCGCCCCCCTCGGCGATCGGGCGGTGATGCGCGTCGCCGGCCTCTGGCTGGCACTCGCCGCGGCGGCGGCGGCGGCGGCGCCCGCGGCGCTCGAGGAGCCGCGGCGGCTCTGGAGCGGCGCCTGCAGTCATATGGCGTTCTCGTCGACGCCGCGGACCGTCGGCGCCGCGTCCGGCGCGACGGCGC